TATATTATGACGACTCATGGCGTGTGAATGTGTCTGTCTGCTTGTCTGTTTGTCCGGATACTTCAATTCGGTAATCAGGAAGCTAAGAAACTGAAATTTTGCCAGTAGGTCCTCTGGTCAAGTGCCATCCCAGGAATGCGGCATCAGCTTTGCGCATACCTGAGTCTCACTTAAGGACATGTGAATGTTTTGGCAAGAAAATTGCTGCCTCAGCGACTAGAAAAGCTGGAAAGCCGAAATTTCCAGGGAATGTTCTCTATCTACGTACAGCTGAAAGCCTCAAATTCAGTCCTTACGCACGCTTGTTTCGCGCGTAAGGACACATAAAAGTTTGACAGGAAAATTGCTAATTCGACTTTATTATGTTAATGTTGGTATTGATGAGATGCAGTTGTCAGATGAGTTAAGACATATGCATTTTAAAGGACCAAAACGTATTAATCTTGGCTAAACTGTTACTTCTCATATACTATAAATCTTTGACTTTAACACTTTCAAATTTACTTCGCAGTTAGATGATATCCTCTAACTGAATAACGTTTATAATTTTGTCTAAATCTAGCAAGTAACTTTGCTTCAGTAGCAAATAATTCATCGCCGACTCGCTAAAGATATTCCCTAAATAAGATCCTCTGAATGACAAGACTCCTAAATGTTAAGAATGTAATGACCGATCCAATAACGGTATTTAACTGGCTGCATGATAACATCTCTAAATATTCAGAACGCCAAAACTTACGCAACAAAAGCAATAAGGAAAGGTTGATTGAATCCGAATGCTGACAGTAAGTTACCCATTTTCGTTTTCACAGGAGATTTCACAGGATTTGTGAAAATACGACAAAAAGAATGCCATATCGCAAGGGAAAACCACTGAATATGGTGGCCATTTGGAAATGTATAGTGCTCGCAAGGTGGAAGAGAAGTGAACGAGAATAATGCAGCAATTGCTGCTGCTCCACTTTCCAGGACTATTCTCCCTCGAACATTTTAGCAGAGTGTACACACATACACACACTCACATACACATGCATATATACATACACTCACATACAAGTGCATACATACACTCACATACACATGCATACATACGCAAACACATACAAACATGCATACATACCTCATAAACGGAGGCTAAATGCCTCCAACCTTTAAGTAGGCAGCAAAATCGATTCCAAAGAGCACCTCCAGTCCAGAAAATTATGGACATTGTGTGAGGAGCCCGGCTGAGTGCTGTGGCGAGATGTGGGTCAGTAAAAAGGGAGCTTTCTTCGAGAAGTGCACCTATTGCGCCGAGAATAAAATGTAAAATGTATCCCCCTCCCCCCCATTTTTCCTCTGCCAAAGGCCAGTGTTTCTCATTTAGCAATGAAGGCCTGAAAACGGGGTCTTTTTCAGGAAACGAAGCCTTCTTTACATCAAAAAAACCAAGATCGTTTGGGTGATCTATGGGGTTACCCCATGTTAGTGTTAGTTAGGTCTTCCCGTGCATCTGGCATAGCTATGCTAAGCCCTTCGATCCTTGGCTGCGCATCTCCAGTTAGTACTCATCGCCTGTTCGATTTAGGTACGCAATTAGTAAATCCATAAGCTATGTACAATGCAAGCCAGCACTGCAAATTCCTGCAGTTATTCGCTTTTCAGTTTGTCTGCTTGGAGTTAATGATGCCTTTTAAGTTTTTTGAATAAAACAAAGCCTCTCGGACATTTAGCCTCTGTGGAATGAGGGCGGAGTGGGGTTGAGAAGTGGGAAAGAGGGGAGGGAGAACATTCAAAAGTAGGAAACCATCAGCAGTCTTTCAGTCCGTACCAGCAAATAGTTGCCTCCACCAACAGTTAAAAGCAAACTGATGCCGGTTTTGACCTTCAAATATATGTTAGCACCAATTTACTATCGAAACGAATGAACGAACCGTCGAGGGATTGGTTGCACCCCCACCATGTCGAACCCCTTTCAACCTACTGAGCAACAGCAGTGGCGCTGAAGCTTCGATCTTTAGCACAGAGGTGGCGATAACTACCACTGCACCATGTTCATCAACTTTCTTTTTGCAAAAATAAGAAATATTTTTACCAGCACTTTTTTATTATTTACATTTCTAATTTCAGTTCAACCGTCATCCAGTTCTGCCTCCAATTTCAAATTACAACACAAGTTATAGTTTATTGTTCGCAGGCTTATTAGTTTAAACGAGACAATTAATTCGTTAGTTCACACTCCAGGAATAGTGTCAGTGTTCGTCGAATGGATAGATCAGTGGCCCGAGAAATATCATTTTATGCAAAATCTTTTGCAAATAATGTTCGATTACTGTCACTATTTCAAACAAACATTTTTTAATTCCTGTAAAACAGAAATAAAATTTATGGAGATGCAATAACTGCGCATTTACACTCTTTCCTGTTTAATTTAGTCCTATAGGCCGCAAGTACCACAAAGTTTCAAAAAATCTCCACATACGTTTTGTTCATCATAATTTATATAGGAACATACTTATTTATGGACCAAGTTAAAGTCGAAAGTTACTTTCATCCTTCCCCTCTTCGTTTTTCTTTTCCTCCTCACCACTCGCTCCCCTCCTTCTTGACTTCACTTTTTATGGGGAATGAGGGAACTCGCTAGCGAGGGATGAAAACACTGGAACCGACTTAAACGAAAGCACCATGCCAACAGCAACCATCGGCTTGATCAACGAGTTTTTATCAGTACCGATCACTAGGTCCATAGCCTATGGACTACTGATGCCGGGTTTCTTCCGATGATTGCTTAGAAAACATTCTAATCATTACTTGATTCTCAAATACATCAGTGTCAGTTTACCATTGATATGAATCACAGTAAAGAATGTGGTGAGTTCTTTTCAAGAGGCAAAAAATTTTCAGTGATAGTCCAGCGAGCTGAAGGATAGAAGAAGGGGAGGGGGAGAAGGCGAAATTCAGGAGGAGGCTAAATAACAGAAGAACGACGATGGGAAAAGTAGCTGATCAAAGTGTCCACATAAATTAATAAGTGTTACTTTTACTATGCGATTTTGAAAAACAACAACAGCCTTTTTTGGAAGAAAATCGCCATTAAAGGTAGCGTGTAAAGTAAAAGCACAAATCTGAATTCAATTTCTCAGTATTAGTTGCTATTTCTTCATATGCACTACAGGTTTCAGCCTTTAATTTTTGAAATGTACCTCACTGTTATCTAAAACAGTGTGGTGAACAGAGCCTTTTTTTGTAAATGGTTATGGACTGACAGTGAATCGAACCAGTCCTATTCACGTTTGGTTGCGACGTGCTATTCACTACACCACCGGTCCTTGTGCACAAATCACTTCCTGCGATACCTTGTAATTTGAGTGTACGTCAGTTGCATATGCACCGTTCTTTACTAACTAGTGCTGCAACCACTGTGTTGCACACATCTCACTTATCGGAAAGTTTTCGCGTGACTTCAGCAACAATATTTGA